AAATAGTTCAGAAAGCTCCACTACTATATCGTAATACCTCAGCACAAAAGTTATGCTTATAAGGGGCGGAAAATTCCTAACAAAACGCGTGAAAGCGTATATGTTCGTTCGTGCGGCAACATTTAACAAACGGCTACGCGAACATCTCACTATAACGAAATGCAAACGTGTTAGACATCGTACTCAACATGTGGCATTATATCGTATGGTTATCAAAACACCAAGTTGAACCTAAATGAGGACATAAAGACGCAAAGAAAAAAAAGAAAGAAAAAAAGAAACAATTTATCTTTCCAGTTCTCTATTTCTTTTTCTCTCGCTTAATCACGAAATCAGGGTATCGATAATGTAACTTTTCCCTAGGGCGATAAGATATAAAGTTTCATGATCGATATCCATGAGAAAGATAATTTTTTCTGATCACACAAGAGGAAAATACCGTAATAGATTTAACTATGAAGATCGCATATAGAACCATGTCTGGGGCTCTGCTCTTGGTCTTTGTTCTTGCTACTCTACTCTTCTGATTGAGAATTACTCAAATCTCGCTTACCGAGTGCTTCACGAATCTTATTGAAGAGGAGGAAGATACGTGTTCACACACACACACACACAATACATACGCGCGTGCGCACACACACACATCTTTCTTTGATACTCAAATCTCGCTTACCGAGTGCTTCACGAATCTTATTGAAGAGGAGGAAGATACGTGTTCACACACACACACACACACAATACATACGCGCGTGCGCACACACACACACATCTTTTTTTGTTTTTCTCTTTTTCTCTCTCATTTTCTACATGGACGAGACAATCGTCTGAGTGAAGATGTAAGTACGTCAGAACTTGAGGAAGAGAAAGAGTATACTACGGAGTAAGTAGTAGTTATCTGAAAAATGGTGCGTAATCTTATTAAGGGAACAGTCTCTCACAATAATTACATAATGTGTGTAATTACATACTGTAATTACATACTGTGTAATTACATAATATAGCATTTTTCCTCTGATTTTAGCTGGTTTATTGCCATTTATTGAATCGTTTCCCTGTGGCATATTTGAATTAGCAAAGATTGAATCACACAAAAATTTCGAAATATTACTGTTTTTTGAAAAATGACACACAATCTCATAAAATACTTATAGAATAAATTATATAAAATACAGTATTTTGCATTGCTGTTTGAGAGATTTGTATGATAGTTGATTTATTATTAAATTATTTCCCTTTGGCGAATTTCGATTCATGATTTGAATTCTATGAAGAATAATGAATTATATACTCTAGACAAAGAAAGAATCTGTCTTAACATAAGAACTAGTAAAACCATTTCCTATTAATAAATAATTTATGTTAAAAGGCAACACGATGTATGTATGTATTTCAACAGTATGTACAATATTTCAAAATATTCACTTGTAATGTATTTTGACGTAACTATTTCTGTAAAAATTCATATCTATATAATTTATGTTTCTATTTTCTTTTTTTAATGCATAACTTAAACACAATGTACATAAGTTGTAGGATTAAATATTCAATTTTATAGGTCACAAACGCGTAATAAAAATATTCCACGTTTCTACCATCTTTCTTATTACATGGTAAATAGAAGCAAATGTCTCGAACAAAGCGTTATAAATGTTTGTCTTGTTCCTATTGTTTTAAAGCCACACCGTTTATTGTTTAAATACCAATGGAAATAAAAGAGATTGCAAATGGCTGGATATCTCGATATAAAGCGAAAAACCATCTCGAGATTCGAACAAAGATATATGTACATTGGCAAGAATCCGATGGTAATATCTACTCGTCCTATTTTCCTCTATTTTCACACTTCTGAAAACAATGGCAATGTTACACACTTCTTCTTACGAGAATCCTCTTTCTCGTATTTACTTAACGCTCGATACTGAGGGTTGGATCGTACTTATTACGTAACACCAAAACGATACGACCAAGGCAATGACAAAGGATACCGGTAGTGCGAGTGAGGTCTTATTTGATGTACACTCATATTGTATTCCCTTCTATTATTCGTGCTGTCTGTGGTTCATGTTATACTTCAATAACAAAGGCTTTTTGCAAAGCAAACACTGACTTATGTATTGTATCGAGTCGTATTATAGATAATGTGAAATAGAACATGCAAATACTGTTAGATTGTGGCATCGTAACAATAATCATAAAATTAAACGTATCATGAATAAATTATTACGAACCGTCATTATAATATTTTAAGATCATCTAGAATGTTGCCTATAAATTGTTTCACTTTTAATTTTTATTATTTAAAGACTTAATCCCGTATCAATCAAAAAATCTGTCATTATAAAATTGTGCGATAAGAATGAACATAACACATATCAATTTTTAATAAAAATTAAATAATAATATATACTATATTCTAAAACATACATATATAGATATCTACTATAATACTCTTCATTTTTTTAAGATACATAATTGTTATAAATTATATTGGGGACGGGATGTAGATGTAAGAAAATGTAAGAAAATTGGCGTGAAAATCCACGGCAGTTTCACGTCGTTCCACGGTGCTTTGACGTTTAATTTATCTCGGGTACTTACGGGGTATGACGCAACATTTCCCTATTATTTTCCCCGACAACCGTAAAACGTCGCGTTAAACATCGCGTAAAACGCGGATTTAGGCAAACACCGTACGATTTTGTTAGAACGGTCTGCAACTTGCGCCCGCGGCGCTGAAATTGACTGGACGTGCTACACAAAGGGAGGGTAAAATTCACGCATAAATATCGCGTAGCGCGCCAAAAGGGATCAAAAAGGAACGCATTCCTGTCGCGTAACACGACGAAAGTTCAAATGCGGTGACGCGAAAGGGACTCCTTTTTTGCTCGCCGAAACAAACGGTCCATTCGTCGAACAATGTCATGTACTACGTTTGCAATGCTGTATATCGCGAACAAAGACCAAACAAAATTACGCGCACGAACGACTTCGGCATCGTTACAAAAATTGAATCGCATCTGCATCAGTCCTATTGACTCGACGAACGACAATGCTGATTCGTTTTACGGACGTGACGTGCTCCGTTGAAAGCGTAGCGATAATGCGGTATGACGGGAGAACATTTTTCTCTAACCCTAAGAGAGAAAGAGAGAGAAAATGGATATGATATATCCACACTTTTTTATTTTTTAGTAACAGATTAAGGAAACAAGAGTGCACTGTGCTGTGCAAATTTTCGAGTAAAATTTAAAAAGGATAAATATTGATATTTTATATTTTTATATTTATATTTTACAATGATAAAATATAGAAATAAATTCTAAAAACAGAAAATATCTAAAATAATATATTATTCCGGATATTATTCTAGAGCTAATAAGTAAAAGAGATTTTTATTGCTGCTACATCAAATAAGTTTATGAATTCCACAAGAAATAATAGAAAAACTCTGGATTCACTTTCGAAATATTATTTGACAATTTCAATACCGTATATTTGCAAGCCATAAAAATGTCAAAGGCCATGTAACATTAATCTAATACTCTTACGGAAAATACCTTATGTTTATCTAAAATCAGATATCATATATTATCAAAAGCCAAAAAGATTCTTCAAGTTTACGAGATAAATTTTTAATAACTTTATATAAAAATCAATTATCTTTTTTAATCTGTAGTCACGTAATGATTACAACAGTTTTAACGTAAGTCATTATTAATCGTAAATTGTGATATTTCAAAGTGATAATCATATACGCATGATACGAAATATTGTATTAAACCATATTTAAGTCAAACTGTTAAAGCAACCGTCGGCTCAGATTTATCAAACATTTGGATATTCGTGTTTTTAGAGATAATATTCGCGCAGTGAAATACATGATGTATTATTATAATAAACACAGATTAAGATTTGCACGGAGCAAGAGTATATAATCTCATGTAAAGTCCTGCGACCAGAAATATCATTTGGTTAATCACATGTAGTGAAATGTATAGCAAAATATTTAGCGATTTATTACAAGGATGCCATTATTTAACGCGGAAACGTCACGCCATGCGTTTGAAATTTATATACTTCACCGTTCCGGCGGAAGAATTCGTATCGGCACGTGAAAGCTTCCGTTCAATCTCAAACACGTGCCGAGAATGTATCCATTCAGATGCATGCTTTTTCTCTTTCGCATATAAAGTGTTATAAAATATATCACTTTATTTATGACATTCCGATATTGACGGGCGTTTTTGTCGTCTTCTCGCGCAAAAAATTTACTCGGCCGCTTGAACTAAAATCAAAATGCTCGCTCTGATTTTTTTCGAGTCACGCCACAAGTCTGAATTATTGCGTACTCGAGATGATAAAGGGAGGGCCGCGATATCTCTTTGAAATTAAAAAAAAGATGAGTATTAAAGAAGACCAAAGAAAAAAAAACAGCAAAGTAAATACGAAAAGAGATATTTCCACGAGCCTTTTATAGAAAAAATTATAGAAAAGAACTTTAGTAAAGCCTGCAGGATAAACTTCTACAAGCTCGCATTTGCGAGTCTTTCGGAATTTAACTTATATAGGCCTTTGAATTTAAAAAAGAAAACCGGATGTAATGAATATACATACTTGGAAAAAAGAAAGATTTTAACCCTAATCCAATCCACTTTTGACTATTTAATACAAATAAAAGCTTCTTTTTAAAAGATATTTACAAGAGTTCTCGAATGTAACTTATCTCTAATATTTACGATCCTATAAGATAAATTTAAATTGCAAAGTCAATAAATGGAAAATGATCAAAAGAGCATCTTAATTTCTTTAAAATCTCCGAGTTCAATTTCTTTAAAATCTCTTTTCTTTATCAATAAGAAACTTACGTATCACAAATTTCAGAGGCGAAGTTTTCAAATTTGCTCTAAAGTTTTAGAGTTGTTTGGGAAAAGCTTCTAAAGATAAGCCATTCTCGATCATTTCAAAATTGTGCTAATCAAGTTTGTTTCCTTTCTCGACAGGTGACGTGATAGACATCCTGACACTCATAAACTCGGCCATCAACTTCATCCTGTATTGCACTATGAGCCGTCAATTTCGCATGACCTTTAATCAACTATTCTGCAGCCGATGGCGGCTGATCGGCAGATGGATGGCGGTGCCCCATCAGCCGATGGAGAACAACGGACATACCGGAACTAATCACACGGTGACCCAGGTCACTCAGGTCTAGCGCCGAAGAAATCAATGGACCTTTTGCTATCCGGTGTAAAGAGAGCTCGCTAATTAGCTCCCTTTCAGACACGCCTATTGCAAGTCCGCGAATTGAAGGAGGTTGTTTCCTCCGCGATTCGCCACAGTTACTCGTGCAAACATAGCGCCAAGCAAAGAGAGGTGAAATTTATTTGCTCGCTACTGCCACTGGTCCTAATTGCATCGTCGTTGCGCGAACTTTGCAACGCCCGAAGTGCTTTTCGAGCATCAGCTTCATCCCAGACATGCGACATACCAGATGTGTAACAAATATTTACTTAAGTTGGTTGGTGAACCACTATGTTTTTCCAATGTGTTTCTTTTCAATTTTATAAATTACTTATTTATATTACAATCTATCAGCAGATCATCGGACGCGTCCGATTAATTAACGATACGCACAATAATGTGTTATATTTAAAAACAGATGTGATAGATATGTGAAAGCGCTTGACAAGAGCTGCCAGATTACTATCATTGGTAATTTTATAACGTGATCCTTCACACGCGAGATATTTTTAGAGAGGAAGAGTTAAAAAATTTTCAATCCTTTAGTAGTGGCACATAAGCAATGATGACACTAATAAAAATAATCACGTAAATGATTATAGCCATTCACAAACATCTCATTTTATTTTTTTTAAATTCCTGAATTTTTAATTATAATATGTATGTACAAAGAAAAACAAAAGGTTATATATCACTATGCAGCTGGTCTGCTTATACCCTCATCCCTGTTACAGTTTGAACAAGATTTCAAAGTTTGTAAAAAGTTAGACCGTGAAATATATGAACAAAGAGAATTATCTCATAATAGTCACACGACATTCTCATGATAAAAAAAATATTTGTCAAAAGATTACTTTATTATTTCCGATTTCTATTAATTCTTTGTACGCGTTTCAATATCCATTTATACTATCAATTAATCAATATAATTAATTTTAATCAAATCAGAAACTAAGTAAATAATCAATTTTATTTTCATTTGTTCATCGTTTCATTTAGTTTATTCAAAGTTCTTGCCTATTCAGAGAACTTACGTAATTAATAATTATGTTAGTCCACAACGGGACTAAATTCTATTTGCTTTTCATATATACATACATACGATAATAGAAACATTTAAATTATCGTGCGCCAAGTAAATTGTTCATAGTTAGCTAATAGAACTGTTTAATTGGAATGTAATAAAGCGCACCTATTAAATTGTGCTTAAATAGCTCAAAATTTGCAGTCAAAAATCATTACGATGCATCATGCCTCTATAATAAGATACAATTTTCTGCAGTTAATAAAACGCAATTTTCCGTTAGTTAGCTTAACTAACTAAACATTATAAACCGAAAAATGAGAAGTGTTATTTTTGAGCAAATTCAGTAATTGCTTAAAGCTTAAATAGCTTACACTTTTTTAATACAGATTAATGAGCAATATAATAACAAATATATTATCGACTATTTCTTCTTGCTAGAGGCTTAAAAGCGACTTTTTCTTTAAGATGTTTTTAAAAAACATGCGCTTAGCATTTATTTATCTTTATAATATCTTCTGTTTGTTTAAAAAAATATTTCAATTATCATAATATATATAATTTCACACTAAAGATAATTTTTTTTTTTTTAATAAAATTTAAAAGGAATGTATATGTTCTTAATTAATCCATGTTTCGTTCGAAAAAATTTTTAATTGCCATTGGACATTTATGTAAACATTATTCAAAAATATTTATCACAAGCTCTTTAGTGGAAATATGTATATGTATCCAGGATGATAAACGTAAATAACAAATTAGTTTTACATGCAAAATCGAGAGACAAACTATTTAAAATAATTCAAAGTAGAATAATTAAATACTCGCTTTCATTATGTATGGATTAATGCAAAAGTTGGCTTATTGTTTTTACCAACCTACAAAACAGATAAACAACTTTATCATAAAATTATTGGAAAGCTGAGCCGTGAAAACGTGATTAACATAATTAACGATGCAATGCGAGAAGTAGAATTTGCATTGGCTAAAGGACAGTCTTGCTTTGCGATTCATATTTATGCAATTAAATATTAAAAAAGACTCTTCTTGACACAACTTCCTTCTCCTTTGCTCAAGCTAAATGCAAATTACGTTGATAATTTGCATTTTACCTTCGAAAAGTAACAAAAAAATCTTTATACAAAGTATTTCTTTTTCAGCTATCTTTGTGTCCCTTTTAATGCGAGAAATTCTGCGAAGACTATTATAATTGAAATATTAATTTTCCAATATTAATTTTGCAATTTACAATTGTAAAAAAGGATAAAAACAATTACGATACATTATCATAATGACATCGTTCTTGTTATTAACCAAGATGATCTATGTATCATTAACATCATAAGCAATTGCATTCATTAAAGCAACAAGTCTGTTATATTTACTTTCTTCATAAATATGTATTTTTATCAACTTACTTACTTTTTACACAAAGAATTTGAAATATATATACAATTTATTTTCTCATTTAAATGCTTGCAATATTTAGCAATATTTTTTTTATACAACTATTAATATATATAAATTAGATATATGTGTGTATGTGATTTTTTATGAAAAAAATATATATATTTTCAAATCATTCTTTCAAATTTTTATAAATATATTTAAAATTGTTTAAGATATGCATTTTTATCTCTCATCGGGCAACAATAAATCAAACTATTCAATCAAATTTATTCAAAACAAAAAGTTTGAGTCTCGTTAATCTTGTAATATCAAATATCTGGGATAAAACGAGAGAGAAATAAGTGGCACCCACTCTCTCGATTTCAAGAGCGCGTGCCATGCGCGGGTGTAATAATCAAATTGTTTACAGCTTCGCGTTTGTGTTTATTATTGCGGAGCTATACGTTTAACACGCTACATATTTTTATCAATATCGCAGAGACCGCGAAAAAGCAAGAGATTTTATTTTTATTTTTATTTTTATTTTTAGAAATAAAATTCTACAGGAATGATGCCGTTGCAATAAATTAGAACTCGCTTCAGTCCGTCTATTTGATAGAGCACTTCTAAACCGAATTGCCGCGATTGCTACGCGACACGAAGAATTGCCACGATTAATCATCTTCCATTCGTGGCTAACTTTATCGTCTTGAATAAAACCGCTGTGTAAGTAGTACGAATACATAAAGTTTCCCGTTGGATTTTTATTTATTTGAATACTCGCCCACGCGTGCGGGCTCGATAAATTGTCGCGGTTACGGATTTTATCTCTACAAGCCTTGTCATCGACCGGCTATTAATTTTTTATATTATAGTCATTTTCGGCTGGCATTGTTAAAGGCACCGAATTATTTCCGCGTACATTCTATTCTTATAAATTTAATTTTAGTTTCATAATTATTTTTTAATAATACCTTTTCACGCGACTATAATATATTTTTTACTTATTTCGTTTTCCAATTGCAAGGTTTTTTTCACGATAAAATTACATTTATTGTATTTATTTCTGTTTATTATAAATGCACATATCATACACCTTAACTATCTTATTTTAATACTCTGTCTAATTTATTTTGTTATGATGGAAGAGATATAATTTATTTATAAATAATAACAAAATTAAGAATTAATAATTTTTAATTTTCACAGTAAATATAAATGTTGGAGAGCGCGAAGATTTGATATTTGTTTCCAACCAAAGAATTTACAGTACTGCATCTATTTCTTTAAAACATAAATTTAAAAAGTGTATTTCTTAAGAGACTGTGTGAGGAATATACTTTTATACGAGAAACAATGATAAAGAAAAAACAACTAACATGATCCAATTTTTAGGCCTCTAGCAAAAGTGTTTGCAATTTTTTCATTTTATTTGCAAGCTAATTTATAATAAATTAAAGAATATATAATCTCCCCCATCAAAATAGAAAGTACCTGAATGAAATAATTATCTATTATATTCACATTGGCAATGAAATAGAAACATTATCTTCCTGTGCAATATCAAAATATTAGATAGCATTAATGTAATATCAGGAGCTGCAAGTGACGTTTCCCGTTAGCGATAAAAATTCATTAGGAAGAAACGACAAATGTCATTATACAATATAAATCAAAATCAGCATCCTGATATTGTCCCACGGATTTGTTGCGTGTTGTTTGTAGCGGATAGCAAAATGTTCGTTGATCCCTTTGAAAGAATTAAAACTAAGTCGATAACCAATAAAAAAAAAGTTGTCCATCGATCAATACATCGAAGGACATTCTTATTTAAAATATGTTGCAAACTATACTTTCAGTCTTCTATAAATATGTTACGTTCGTTTAAAGAAATATGTTCCGTGTTTTAAAAAGATGATGTTAGGTTGGAAGCCAATTACAAGGATCAGTCGAAAGATTCGTGTTTCCAGAAGCCTTTTCACGATGCAAGCTAACAAAGGCTAACATAACGCTTCTCATTTTCAAAGACATCATTGATTTCCTGGCCCTTTGTTTTGCGTTTCTTGAAAGTGAAACTGTACCGTGTTAAGTGTACGTAATAAAATACAAAAGCGAAGGGGAAACGCAAAATAAAGAGAAATAAATAAGCAACAGCTACTGATATTGTCAAAAATATTCAGCAGAGACAAAAGAGTTTGTAAGATAAAGCACGAAGAAAGATTTTTAAATGTCCCATTAAATTGTCTCCAACCTAACATAATAAATGTTTATTAAACCAGAAAATATGTACACGAATTTCTTATATTACATGTGAGTGCGTGTGTGTATGTGTAATCTCAATTTTTTGTTCAGTATAAATTGTAAACCTTAGTCATACTTTATATGAGTAGTAATATTTCGAGATTGCAATTTGGTTTTATTAATCAAATTACGCGTTATGCTTATATTATCGATATAACGTGATGTTTATCTACCTGTAAGATTAATATAAATTATAAGAAATTAATATTTTTACTATATTAATAACCGGCTTTACTCGGACATGCCAACTTCTATGTTATATTTAAAAGTAAGTGAGATAAATGATATTATCGATTAGTTATAAATTACGTTTAAGATTAAAAACACACATAAAGAACACTACGAAAAAATATATATAACATAGCGATAGCTAGAAAGTAAGAATAATCAAAAATTAACATCTCGCCGATATTCTTATACTCGTTCAACGACTATATGATTAGTAAATTAAAAATGTATTATTAATTTTTAATATTTCTTGTAAAATTTATGACATATCGAATTTTTAATAAAGCGACATTGTTTTCAGGGAAACGACATTACTTCCTTCATGTACTGTGTGTGTGTGTTTCAATTGTTTCAAAAGGATCATTTTTGTCATTTTTTACTACAAATAATGTACAACCTTTTCACGCATCAAGCGTATACAATATACGCTACAATATGACGCCACAAAGAGAGAAACAAAGTGTAAAGTTTATATTATCTGATATGCTGAAATAATTTTAAGCGTGAGTAAACATTGCTTTTATTGGTTATTCGGTTCCGATTAAGCTTACAAATGATGTTTCATTCTCGCATGACCTGGCTATTTAAACAATGCCGTTGTTTTACCGATCATAATATTTAACTAACGACAATGAAGTAAATTAAATTGGGACACGTGCCGCGGTTCGCGACGTCTCGTTATTTTCAATCTACATATTACAACTCCAGATGTACCGTATGCATCAACGTGCGCATCGCAGATAAAATTACTGTTACTTTTAATGCAATTAAGTATTGAATTGATCTAAAAATTGTCTAGTTTTTTCCTATAAAAAGTACGTAAAAAATTTTTTTAAATTTAAATAAAAAACAAAAAAAAGCTTTCCGCCTTTTATATTAAGCAAATATTAATTATTATGGTCGATAAAACAGACGAGCTTTTGGATCCCCTTAATAAGATGTTTTAAATACTGCAAATTCATTAGGAGTGCAAAATGCTCTCAATGCGCACTGAAAGTAGTTTGCACTCCCAATGAAATGTGCAGCATTCAGAACATGCTCATTAAAATTACCAATGATATACGCTTCAAGCACTCAGTGCTGCGAGTTCTTCCTAATGGAAGACGCTATCAGTTTTATGATTTTGCATCTTAAACATTGAATTTTAAATGTATGGAATGTTCCAAGTTGTCTGCGCTTATTTGCATTTAAGAATTCTTTGACCAAGTTAAAGTTTCTGATGGCACAATAATCTTATTAAACTGTCTTTCTCTATATATTTTTAACACTTCATCTCTAATATCTTCTTAATTAATCTACAAATTAAAAATCTATTAAAATAAAGCCTAATTAAGATTGAAGAAAAAAATAAAAAGTTTTATCTCTTTTTGTGTGTCTTTCTCTCTGGTTTAATTTATTAAAATTTATAAACTTTTAAACTTCCATTAATGCTTCAAAAAATTGATATTTAGAAAATCGATTCTAAAGTGATAAAAAAATGTATAAATTTATAAAAATGAGTGCGAGAAGATCAAGACATTCTATACATATAGCAATATATTCTACACTATTAAATATACATAATGTCAAGCAAGAATATAAATAAGAACTGGTTTTTATCGTACTAATGATTGATATCGCAAACGATTATGATACTTTCCGTTCGTTCTGTTCATTTCTTTTTTGTATTTAAAGATTCGGCAAAAATTAAAACTTAAAATGTCTCAGTATTTTCAAATCGGAAGTCACAGGAAATCGGAATCTTATAATTGCTTCATTGCAACTTGGCCCTTAAATATGCATTTATCCCGAAAAGAGTTAAAACTGATTTCATGAAGTTGAATAGAGAGTTTAATTAGAAACTGTATACTTGAAAGTATCTTGAGAGTAATTAAAAGTCTTAACGAATGCCTACTACTAGAAACATAATTTGAATTAGATACATTTCGATCCAGCTTCCGAACAAACTCGAAATAGCTGCAAGCTGTAATTATCTAGTATGCTCATATAGGGAAACGATATTAAAATGAAGCTACATGCACGTATATATAGTTATAATTGTGCATATGTGTTTATTATGTGAAGTGTCATTAAAATATAAATGAGTGTCTGGTTTCCATCAAAAATTTATATTTCTATAAAGTTTTCTATAGAATAAATGAGAGAAAGAACTCTTTTCCATGAAAAAGAATTTATTATGTTTATTAAAAAAAAACGACCATTATAATAAAATTCAAAAATTTTAACCAGGCTCTGCATAACAAACATATTTAAAATATTTAAAATATTTTGTTAATATGCGATCATAATGTTATATTAAAACATTGATAAAAAATTCTAAAAATAAATGATTATCAATGATTCATGCAATGTATTATGTAATTTATTTGTATAGTTTTTATGGATAAAATATTGCCATAATTTTTCAAAATATACTTTACATGAATTTTAAAAATATTATTCGCATATAAAGAACAAAAATGTAAAATCATGAGAACATATTTCATAATGGGATATGTAATGAAGCTGCTAGAGAAAATATAAAAAGCATCGCAAAAAAAATTCTCAAGAGATTTAAAATTTGCACTATAAAAAATTACGGTATGTTTCAAATCCGTGACCTATACGTGGTAAAAATACATTTTTCTTCTCTTCCGCGTATAATGTCGTGTTTATAATTTTATTAAAATTACATTATGATGTAATTACGGATTGCTTCATTCCCTCTCCCTCAAGGGAATGCAGGATTCGCGGAAAGACCGTAACGACAATCTGAATATAATTCAAACAAAATGTAACTCAAACTTTCAATAAATGATACTCACAAATGAGTCTTTATAAATTTATACATATGAATTATTTATAAGTTTTATCCATTTCCTGTATGTACAGCTTCGACAGCAAAGATTGAAAGATTTTGATAATTTTTTATCCACGTACCTTTGTTATAAACTTTACTTACACGCAAAATGTAGTTCCACACGTTCCTCACTTCTTGTTAGATAGTTAAGTTCTTCCCATAGATAGGTAGTTTAGTTCATATCTGAAAATAATATAGATTTGTTTTAATATCAAAACACTAGAAATATTAAAATATCTTTTTTTATTCACAATCATACAAATTGATTTTTCAAGTAAATCTTGTTTTAGAGTAACATAATTTATCAAGATAGCTTATTTAATATTAAAATTACAAATTTGCAAAATAACACAAAATGTCCAATTTCACATTTTAATTTATCACAAGATTTTCAGCTACGAAATTGGAAAACATCTTGTATCCTAAATCATGCATAATAATCATGTATAAATATTCACGATTTAGTGAACAGCATGGTACATTGGATTTGGATTTTAGCCAAGTAAGGCACTGGCTTTACACATAAATGCACTTAGGTATTGTGCATTGTCCCGTCTGCAGCAATTATCCATTACATCAAGCCATATAACCATAAAGATTGCAGGAGGACGAAATGCATTTGCTGATAAACTCACCGTATCCCGATGAATCGCCGCAAGCGATGCAGAGAGAACCGTTGAAACCACGAAAAGAGTATACACATATATCGCATCTGTTTTCTATTATTTATAAGCGTTTATATGTGCGTATGTGTGCTAGTATCGAAATAATTCATCATTTATAATCAGAGAATTGTAAATCCCTTCACAATTTGGAAAATTGTAAATATTCTATACATTCTATATTGCATACGTTTTATACAGTATGTAGAATCCATCACTGCATTTTATTACACATATGAATCCCAATATAGATGCAGAAACTAAAATGTGTAACAAAAAGAGCAATCGCTTTAATCTCGATGCGTTGACACATCCGCAATTACTAACAGTAAAAGATTAAATTCTAATAGAACCCCACACTAATAATGTATGAAAAATTCGAAAACGTAAGACCAAAGTTATAAAACGTAAAAGATAACAAGATTGTTAAGACACAAATGTTATTTATTAATTAATGACTAGATTTTGACCAAATTGTTTAATTAAAAGCTTTATTGTCAGAATATTTAATATATTATTAATGCTATGCAATTTGCCTTGTAATTTCTTTAATAATTTATTTATTTATTTATTTGATTTTTATTAAAGTTCTGTGCAAAATAATGCTAAAGACAAATGTGATTTTCTTCTTTTCATAAAAAAAAATATTTATGTTTGTTTGGTTATTCCAAATTATAATTACAAACCACATTATACGTCACATTTTAAAAATATATAGAAACAATTAAATTTTTATTCAAAGAACATGTGAAATTTTTAAATTAAATTCTTATATCTCTTCTAAGAAATCCGATAATATAGAATTATTTTATTACTCTCTTTCTTTAAACCATTCTACTTTTGTATTCTAATATCAAATAATTTGCAATTTTTTGAGAATTATTCAAAGGTCAGCGAATTTGAATGCACGCAATGTTACAAAAAGTTGCTCAAAATTCATGTATCATCGCGTGCACTTAATCTCTTATTTAAAGCACTCTTCTTTCTGTCGCGTTATATCTCTACCATACTTTTTCGTCAAGAAAAAATCTTTTTTACAGTAATATTTCATAAAATTTCCAGCTTTCATGTTATATATGAATATAAATTTCACTGTTACACATAGAGCAAAAAATAAATAAAAATCGAGTGAACTGGTTCTCTTGTCGACCTTACGCGCTATCCATCACATTCACAAAAGTCGGTTTATTAGCATTATTATGAGAAGGCTCAAGACAAATAAATGAGCCGCAAGTATATTACAGAAAATCGTTTCGTGGTTGCTCCACGATCACATTTAAAGGGAACGTTCCTAATAATAAAATCTTGTAAAAAATAATGCTCTTCTTTTATAAAGTTCTTGAGAATTGAAAAAAAAATTATGGAGGAAAGTAATCTTTAATAAAGAGCTCTGAGAGATGACAAATATTATAAAAACATACCAAAATATTCACAAGAAATATTTAAAAAAGATAAAAAATATATATCGCAATAAATTTATTTTCAAAAATATTATTTAAGATATAGAAACATATAATATTGATAATATTAAAATTTGCTTTTACATATTATTTTTATATTTGCTAAACAATTTCTATATTCCTATTTTTTTCGATAAAATAATAAAATAATCTGATAAAATTATATATATTAAAATTTTTGTAACTAAAAATTTTCCAACCAAAATAATGCAATAAACATTAAAAATATCAGAAAATAAAATTTACCAAAAATGATAATGAAATTTTATACAAATATTATCATCTTAAATTTGCACACTACATTTACGATTATCGGCAAACTAGCACACGTAGGTTTGTACCAGATGTATATACCATACAAAGATAATAACAGAGCTTATATAAATATAAACACACATATATATATATATATATACACACACTATATTTCACGACAGAATACAGAATACAGCCTTGGCATTCACTGTGTATGATTGGCTGATCCTGGGTGATCCTTGGAAAGCATGTGCGGCAAAGTATTTTCACATTGTGTTTATAGAGATTATTTCATCAAATGTAAATTACGACACATTGCGTAAAATTATTAATCTTCACTAATTGGCATTACGAGAAAAATAAATTACAGAAATAAGAAAATCCATTAAAAGGTAAGTATAATAATATCGAACAATAACGAAGGATAAAGAGGACAAAGAAACTAAAGGAACTTTATATATATTTTGCAGAATAATGTACAATATGAATGATTCAAATGATGATAGCTCCGACAGCAGCAACGATTTCACCGGTATTACACCAAAAGACGAGTTGACAGCGAGTTTCTTTTCAATAAAACCAACAATAAAGTCTAACTTAGTGGACTCGAAGGGCTACAGCGAAGATGAGAGTAGCGATGATGACAATTTTACAACTGTTGAAAATGGCATCCACCTGTTCTCAGAAGTGGTCAAGAATCTGGAAGCCTCACAGAAGGCTCCTGTGAATGATGAGAAGCTGCAAGAGCATTATTCCAAGGATGATAAGTTACAAGATGTTAAGAAAATCAAGATTGAAAAGAGGAGTGATAATATATCGGATGAAATAAATGCAGTTTTACTTCAAGGAGAAAGTAAAACACATACATTTTGTAATGATGAAAGCACAGATGATGAGAAAAAAGAGGAAGAGGATGTTAAACGTCCTGTCGATTATACTATTCCTAAGGAAGGTGTCAAAATAACTTTACCAGATACATGTGTGGTTTTCAAAAAAAAAACAAGCAGTAAGAAGCAGACAGATTTAACTGCTCTTTTACGAAGGAAACTGAAGGCCAATCAGATAATAATAGAGAAAGCGGCTCGACTTTGTTGGTTGGCATATGGATTCTATCTCAATCGCCAAGCGAATGATCCTGAATTAATGGCAATAACAGTATCTCTTATTTCAACAAAGAATTGTCCAAAGGATAGTTTTAATTTGGCATATCTTACAAAGTTCACAAAATGGTTCAGGAATATGTTTACAATAGAATCTACTGACAATGAAGTCATTATAAATAAGGAAACATTGTTAAAAAGGATAGCAGAGAAGAAGATTTTTAATTACAGAGAATTGGTAATACTATATGTAGCAATACTAAGAGGTATTGGCTTACATTGTCGTCTAATAGTGTCTCTCAATCCACCACTTGTAAAAAGTTATAATGACTTATTGCCTAAAACAAGTGTAGCAAAGAAAAATGATAAAGTTAAAGAAGAACCAAAAGAATTGAAAAGAAAGGCAGAGTCTTCTAAAAAAGAAAAGAAAAACGCAGATCCAAAAGAAAAAAATATTAAAAATAATAATGTAATTCAGAACAGCGAAAGCGCACGAAAAAACATTAATGCAGAGGCAAAGAAAAGGGCAGCGGAGATTCTTCGCTCAAAATATTCGTATACTAAGAAAAAGAAAAATACTTTAAATAATGATATAGCCCCTCAAGATAATGCTTCTACATCAAAGGATGTCAAAGCAGGTTCAGAAAACACAAGTTCAGAAAAGATAAACACTGGCCCATCTCCAAGACGTTTAAGATCTAGTAAAGCACGTGATTCATCTGCAATAACCAAACAGCAAAGCAATACACAGACTAATAAAGAAAATAATCAATCTAAAGCAAAATGTTCTGAGAGACTATCATTTAGTTCTGACTCGAGTTCAGAAGAAGATGAAGAACCACCCAGTAAGCTGAAGAGAAAACGTAGTAATAATAATAAAACAATTGTTAAATCTAAACATAAGACTGAAAAGACAGACCCAGTATCGGATGATGAAGAAACTGATAATAATGACAAATTAAAAAAAAGACAGGATATATGGATTGAAGTATATGTCGAATCCAAGGAAAGCTGGACAAGTATAAATATAATGGATGGAAATGTGGATTGTGTGGTTGACATATACGTAAGTAAAAAAATTATTTAATTCTGATTCTTGTAATTGTTCAATTGTCATATAAATATAGTGTTATACTGTATATATGAATATATGTTTAATAATATTAATTATGTAATAATATTTCAGAAAAAAGCAAGCAAACCAGTATTATATGTAATAGCTTATAACTCGGAAGGATTAATAAAAGATGTCACAAGACGTTACTGTCCACAATGGCTTTCTGTTACTCGTAAACAGCGTATTGATGAGAAATGGTGGACTGAGACTTTAAGTTATTGGCTAGAAAAAGAGACAGATATGTCTAAAAAGGAAGATGAATTACTTTTGCAAAAGTAATTCTTATCTTTATATATTTCAGACTTTATCATAATTAAGACATAATTCAGACATAACTGTAGTGTCATATGAATGATATCAAGAAATAATAGTGCTCTATTGACAAAACACTGTTGTTTTCACAGAGAGCTAGAACAGCCATTGCCTAAAACTGTTAGCGAATGCAAAGGACATCCCTTATATGTGCTCATCAGGCATTTACTTAAATTTGAAGCCTTATATCCGCCGGATTGCGTACCACTCGGACATTTAAAAACAGGCGAAGCTATTTATTCGAGATACTGCGTGCACACACTGCGTTCTCGAGAAACCTGGCTAAAGAAAGCTCGAGTAGTTAAACCGCAGCAAGAGGCTTATAAAATAGTTAAAGCACTTCCAAAATATGATAAGGTAAAATTGCGCTAATATATTTCTACAAATCAACCAAAAAATAATTTTCTTATTTTACACAAATTATTATTACAGAAAATATTATAATAAAAGAATTTATATAGCTTTCAGGTATGAGGCTTAAAGATTCTACATTAGAAGTATTCGGAGAATGGCAAACTACAGAATATGAACCACCAGTAGCTAAAGATGGCATTGTACCTCGTAATGAGTATGGAAATGTAGATTTGTTTAAGAAATGTATGCTTCCAAAAGGCACAGTGCATATAAACCGTAAGCATAATATATCTTTCTTATTATTACGATATGGAGATACCTTGACATAAAATTTTTAATGATCAATTTGTTTCTATATAATTTTACATATCCTAAATGAAATGAATAACATTGTCACATATATTTAAATGACATTATTTTTTTATAAAATATGTTTTAAAAAATTAGGAAAATACTGAAAGAATTTCTATTTTGCTATATAATCAAAAAACAGAATTGCAGCATAGCTAAAGCAATGCATTATATAACGAATGAATCGTCATAGTTCCAGGATTAAATCGCATTGCCCGGAAACTGAACATAGATTGCGCGGCCGCCGTAGTGGGTTTCAATTTCGGTTGTAGAGGTGCCGTGCCAGCCACCGAAGGTTTTGTCGTATGCGCTGAATACGAAGATACATTACGAGAAGCTTGGGAAACAGAACAAGTCGAAGCGACTAAACGCGCCTTCGAAAAAAGAGAAAAGAGGATTTACGGCAATTGGAAGAAACTCATTAAAGGTTTACTTATTAAGGAGAAACTATCGCAAAAATATGAGTTTCAAGAGGAATCGAAAACCAATCAGTCGAACAAACGTCCGAAGCAACGAAAGGGCACCGTAAAAAAATCTAAAGCATGATAGAGTGTGTGTATACATATTGTCTTTTGTATGTTAAGAGAAAAACTCTTATCTTTAAAATGAAGCATTTATTTGTGTTAAATACCATAATATTAAACATTCACAGATTCGATACTTATTTTTAAAATAATTTGTTCATCAGTATTTTACACAATAATAAACCAGATAAGAAATAATAATGATTTTTTGTCCTGTTTGAGTATTGTATGATTGGTTCTAATTATTTTGTGTAAATTAAATTTTATTTTTGTAATATAATATAACACAAAAATATTTCCTTTCTCTTCACAATTCCTTCTCTTTACAAATCCGTGAAAAATGCTATAGTAATATCTATTACATTTATATAAAAGAAAAATTTTCTTTTATATATTGGTCATATAGAATAATTTTTTATTGAAATATTTGTGATATTAATTTCTATATTTCAAACTTTGCATATTGAATATTATAAATTATGTAATTCATAGCAGACACACATACGCGCGCATATATGTATACATATATGTATATGTGTATATATATATGACTAGCTACAGTTTTTTCTGCGGATCTGAACAATGAAATTCACATTTGTATATATGCATATACTCTATTCTTCATTATTTAAGTTTAAAATTACCCGAATATTTTATGTCTTATATCATTTTTGGATCTTTCTAAGGAAAAACGATGCGATCTCAAAAAATATATACGAACCTAAGCACGTATACTGTCCACTGAAGCCAGTCATAGCGCGATATATATTTCTGATTATATTTTCTTTTCCGCAACAACTTTTCAACAATATTACATTACACGCTTTAATACTAATAATGAATAACTTTATTGTAGAGAAATTACCTGAAATTCCTAATCTTCTTTAGCCTTGCAATCGAAAATTCAAAGCTCATTGCGAGCAACACAACTGAATGCAACGAAATACATTTTGCGAACGCGGGAACGATAAACTATGAATTGCTCGCTTTGTCGCGAACCAGAAAAGGCGCCATATTCAAATTTTTTAAATGTTAGTTTTTTTCATAATAAGTGTTAGAAAACTATTGTAACCAGAGAGAAGCCTGCAGTTTTTTGTAAGATGCTTTTTCTAATTGATAATTAATTTTTTAATTTACGAATTCATTATTTGGATGCATTATTTGGATGCATTAGTGCGCACCGATACACATTAAAAGCTATTATGTACAAATTTATTATATAAGCATAAGTAATTAAAACAATAAGATAATTAATACTACAAGTCTTTTGAAAATAAAAAACAAGATTCCTCGCCCTTATTTGTCCACCAAACATTTCAGAGCGGAAATAATGTCAAACAAAGTGCTCTTATTTAATATATAAAAACTTTTATCAAATTTTTATATTTCTTATATTTTTGAACTAATTATATTTCTTATACTTTTGAAATAATTTTACTTGATTAATAAAATTTTTGCGAATGAAATGACATAAAAAACGCGACATTATTCGGATAAATTTCAGTTAAATACAAATGTAAAAATTAGATAAAAATTTTTTCTTATTTAAGTAAAAATTATCCGAATTATATCGTGTTTGATGTTATTTTAATTGTAAAAATCTTATATATAATCCATTAAAATTATTTTCTAAAATAAAAATTAAATGTTTTAATTTTTACATAAGATTTTTGAATATTATAGATAAATTATAGATTATTATAGATAAGTAAAAACATCTCTGATATCATCGAAAGCGAGAGCGAGAACGAATAAAGAGTAAACGAGATGACATATCGTCAAAAAGTTCTAAAGTCTCTTACACGCGAAGGGCTTATTCCTTTATCTATAGTATCTCACGAGTATGTCCTCATTCAATTTCCATACATACTTCATAACAGAAGATTTCACCGGTCAATCAGTCAGTTGTCATCAACCGACGATTGCGAATCTGTCGGCCTATGTTTACTAAGGCTTTCTTACTCACAATCAGTATGGTGTGTCCTATCTACCATATAAATATTGAATGGTTTTTTTTTTCTCTGTATAACGACATTTTCTTAATATAAAATAATAATTATTATAA